TCCAATATACTTGAATGTCAATATACATATTTTGTCCTTTTTAAAGTGATTGTGTGGTTTATAATTATATTTTGATGTTTTACTGACATCTTTGTTGTCTAGGTGCCTTTATGCCTTTCAAGAACAATTTATAAAGGAAGCATATCAATGTAAAGAATATTTTTAAAAGAATCAAAATATTATCAAACTACAACTGAATAGTTGCAGCTGAGAGAAAAAATGATGTTACTCAAGGGCTTCAAGGAAAACCACTACTTCCAATCAAATATCAATATAGTATAGGATCCCTTTCCAGGTCTCAACAAGAAGCTCCTAATCACAAAAAAAATTATTCATTATTTCCTACTCACCTAGGAATAATTGATTTTTAGAGGAACCCTAGAGAGTTCATAGAGAAGTATAGATTTGAATCTCTGTCACAATGTTCCATGCACAAGACAGTAACAAAACATATGCTACACAACAAAACCAAGAATTGTTTTCCTTCTCATTCTTTTTCTTGTAAGTTAGGGAAGAATGGATCTGCATATTCAATCACCCAAGCAAAACTACATTGGCAATGCCAGTCAGGAAAACTATTATCTTTCAGCATTGCTAAACTAAGTGTCTCCATTTCCTAGTGACATTGTTAATCTATTCCCATTTCCAGTTTCAAGTCTTCCATTCTTCCTCAATGGGTTTTCCCCAAGTTTCTGTCCTCATTTTATACTGTTTGCATTTTGTCATTTTCCCATCTCCCCCCCCCCCCCAATTGATTAGATAATGTATTTGCAGGGTTGACCCAAGATATTTTACTGAATGAAGTGAAGAACTAGATGGCATCTGTCTCCAGTTCATAAAAGAAACAAAATAAATAGGCAGGTGAATTTTCCTCTAATACTTGTAATGGAATGACATATTACATTATATCTGAGCTAGCAGACTTGCCAGAATATGTTGTGTGACATATGCAGCATGGTCCTTCAACAAGTGGAAATCTGGAGAGCTCATAAGGAACAGCTAGGAAACTGCATCCCTCACCCACACTACTACCCAGAACATCTGCATCTAAGTGTGTAACCTCACTGTCCTTAATGATAGAGCCATCCTTGTGTTACTACACATTTTTAAATTGTGCACATTTTAGCCATTTACACTTTGCCATATACACATGGTTTTGTTTGCATTTCCTGAACTCTCAAAACATATTGCAAGACTTGCAAATGTACAGATTTTTGAGACTTAATGAGTCACTATACTTGCAGTCTTGAGAAGTGGTAAATGAAAGTTTCCATATGGAAATGAGAATCCAATGAGGTTTTTTTTTATCCGAAGTTTGTATTTGCAATCTCCAGTTCCATACAGAGTGTTGCAGTAGAGTGTGCTGGTCAAGTTACAGCTAGTAGCAGAAGAAGAAAGAGGGCTGCTCAGGTGCTGGAGCAGGAGCAGCAAAGGAAGTGAATTAGGGAGATATTCATGACACCTACAGATACTGACTCGTTTGAAGGCTTCCCAGATTCTGAAATGGAGGAGGAGGGAGATGGGGGTAGAGGTATAAAGCGGATTACCTGGGAGCAAGAATCAGATGAAGAACATGAAAGGAAACGTATCCGTGAAATACTTAATGCTCCAACTGAGGAGGAAGATTTTATGGGGTTCACGGGAAGTGATGGGATTGGGAGTAGTGACGAAGAGGAGGATGGGCTGGATTGGACCCGTGTGCAGGAAATCAGAGAAATATGTACAGAACCAACATCTAGTGATGCATTTAAAGGTTTCTCTGGAAATTGGCAATCTGGTGATACATGGGGCGATCTAAGTCTTGATAGAAGGTGGAAAAGTTGGAGGGACGGACGGTGGCGATCAGCTGTGGAAGCTAAGGCAGCCGAGAGTGATGAAGACAGGGTGGAGAACAGTTCATCATCTGATAATGAGTTACAGGATAAAAGTAGGTATCAAACTATGGGGACTTTGCAGTAGGCATGCTTGGGACTTTGTTGCTGCCATTGCTCTTGTGGGCTTGGGTCCTGGAACTGCAGGTTGCCGTGTTTCCATGCTTCTACCAACTGGAATCTCGTAAGTGCTGACTTCTACTTCCCCTCTGACTTTGGATTGTTCTTGGACGACGACATCGCGTTTTGGACTTTATCATCTTCTGGACGTGCTTGGACCTGGGACGACGTTTTTGACGACGTTTTTGCTTGCTTCCACCTTGTTTCCTTGTGTTTATTGAACTCTGTGTTTTTGAAGTGGGTTGCTAATACTTTTTGTTATCCCGGATTATATTCCGGTATAATCTAGATTATCCGCTAAATTGCGTTTTTGCAAAGCAGTTTGCTACAGACTTTCAGTTATTGCTAGAACCACTGAGTTAAGTGTTTTCTAAGCTATTTTTGTTGCCCTAATAAACTTTGTTTGGACCTTTTCTTTGTGTCTGGCTCTTTTAAGGCTCTTTTAAGGTTCACGACATAGAGATGCTTTGGATTGATGTTGTGACCAAATTTCTTGACTTTTAATAGACTTGCAATATTAATGAGAGCTGCAAGATGCCAAAGGCCAAATAATGTACTGCATAATTACTGCATAATTAAAAACAACTTAAGGTAAAGGTAAAGGTAAAGGTAAAGGTAAAGGTAAAGGTAAAGGTAAAAGTAAAGGTAGTCCCCTGACATTAAGTCCAGTCATGTCTGACTCTGGGGTGTGGTGCTCATCTCCATTTCTAAACCAAAGAGCCAGCGTTGTCCGTAGACACCTCCAAGGTCATGTGGCCGGCATGACTGCATGGAGCATCGTTACTTTCCCGCCGGAGCGGAACCTATTGATCTACTCACATTTGCATGTTTTCGAACTGCTAGGTTGGCAGAAGCTAGGGCTGACAGCGGAAGCTCACGCCGCTCCCCGGAATCGAACCTGCGACCTTTCAATCAACAAGCTCAGCAGCTCAGTGCTTTAACCCACTGCGCCACCGGGGGCTCCAACTTAGTTTTCAGAAATTGGCTTGGCTCTGTCATAGGGTCTTGTTATCTTCATTAAGTACACATAGAAACTAAAAGACAGGTGGAAACTGAACAGTGGTCAGATATGTGTAACCATTCCATACTCTAGATTACCATAATGACTTAGTTGTTCATTCGTTCAGTCGTCTCCGACTCTTCGTGACCTCATGGACCAGTCCACGCCAGAGCTCCCTGATGGCCGTCACCACCCCCAGCTCCCTCAAGGTCAGTCCAGTCACTTCAAGGATGCCATCCATCCATCTTGCCCTTGGTCGGCCCCTCTTCCTTTTGCCTTCCACTTTCCCCAGCATAATTGTCTTCTCTAGGCTTTGCTGTCTCCTCATGATGTGGCCAAAGTACTTCAACTTTGTCTCTAGTATCCTTCCCTCCAATGAGCAGTCGGGCTTTATTTCCTGGAGGATGGACTGGTTGGATCTTCTCGCAGTCCAAGGCACTCTCAGAACTTTCCTCCAGCACCACAGCTCAAAAGCCTCTATCTTCCTTCGCTCAGCCTTCCCTAAGGTCCAGCTCTCACATCCGTAGGTTACTACAGGGAATACATGGCTTTGACTATGCGGATCTTTGTTGCCAGTGTGATGTCTCTACTCTTACTATTTTATCGAGATTGGCATTGCTCTCCTCCCAAGAAGTAAGCGTCTTCTGATTTCCTGGCTACAGTCTGCGTCTGCAGTAATCTTTGCACCTAGAAATACAAAGTCTGTCACGGCCTCCACATTTTCTCCCTCTATTTCCCAGTTGTCAATCATTCTTGTTGCCATAATCTTGGTTTTTTGATGTTTAGCTGCAACCCAGCTTTTGTGCTTTCTTCTTTCACCTTGATTAGAAGGCTCCTCAGCTCCTCCTCGCTTTCGGCCATCAGAGTGGTGTCATCTGCATATCTGAGGTTGTTAATGTTTCTTCCAGCAATTTTCACCCCAGCTTTGCATTCATCAAGCCCCGCACATCGTATGATGTGTTCTGCATACAAGTTAAAAAGGTTGGGTGAGAGGATGCAGCCTTGCCGTACGCCTTTCCCAATCTTGAACCAGTCTGTTGTTCCGTGGTCAGTTCTGACTGTTGCTACTTGGTCCTTGTACAGATTCCTCAGGAGAGAGACAAGGTGGCTTGGGATGCCCATCCCACCAAGAACTTGCCACAATTTTATCGAGACTTAGTTATAGATAGTCAATTCACAAAGCATATTATCAGTCTTGGCAAAGTATTGTACTGGAATAGTCTTAGTTGATGTTGGCTGTGATAAGATACCATTTCCAGTATCCACTGGAAAAGCCGCAAACTACCAATTAATTGATTGATTTCTATGGAGTACAATTTGTTACTCCAATAACCAGTCACTCCGTGCATCTGATGAAGCACACTGAGGTCTATAAAAGATTATGCTACCAGCTTCTTTCTCTTAGTTTGTTCAAGAAGATCCCTTTGCATACTGAACCAGACTAACAAGGTTATGTCTTCAAACCTCTAATGGCTTGAGAATTTACCCATCACATTATTTACATGTAATGCCAAAAGATATAGATCCAGTGTGAGAAATCTGTAACTGGGCTCCTTTCCTCATTGGCATGATGCATGCTGTTAGAAAAAAAAGGGTTAGAAAGTAGCTGTGTTGCTGGCCCAGGAAAAGAAAACATGTGGTGATTGTCATGCTATTAAGTGAATATAACATAAAAGACCTAGGGAATGTAGACTAATTTTTCAATTTGTATATTAATCAGATGTCTTGACCCTCCAGGTGTTCAAAAGCAATTCTCATCACCCAACATGGTCAAGGGAGAATGCTGATGGGAACTTAGGTCTAAAAGCATATGGAAGACCACAAATGTGCCAACCAAAATGTGTGAAGGTGTTCTTCAATCAGTTGCATGATGAACTTCTGCCATTTTCTACTTGGACTATCTGTTGGGTATTATTGAAAACTTCCATTTCAGATTACTGAAAATTTTACATAGAGAATCTCCAATAAATTATGCATCACAGCAATGTTAGGACTGTCAGTGAGCTTACCATCTCGTTTGATGAGCTTTGCAAAGCTGGGGCTGTGAGTGCTGGAAAGTTCGGAGGAGCTGTCAAATGCTGTCTCAGGTAATGAGAATACCAGTGGGTCCTCACAATTATCTGTTGAACAAGAGAAAATATAGGCGACATCAACTATAAAAGAAGTACACCTTTGACCTATCAATGCTTTTGTACCCCCCACCCTCCCAAAAGCTGTCTTATTCCCTATATGTTGCAGTTAATTAGCTGTTTCTGAACACCTGTGAAAAAAAAATAAAGCATAAGAAATGGGTTGACTTCATATTTTCCTTTGAGAAAACATGGAGATGAGTTTTCAACACATTTAGTAGAAGTTCATGAAAGTCAGTGATGGGCAGTATCTTCAGCCTCCTCCCCACCTGTCCTATTTTTTTAAAAAATTCTGGTGCTAACCTACATGGCATTAATAATTGCAATGCTCTATAATATACTAAATTGGATTTGATGCGTATGTCAGTGTGAAGATATATTGTCAAGCATTATAGTTTGGTATCTCACAGCTAAAAAATTCTTGGTTCAATCAAGATTCTGAATAGCTTCTGAAAAAGGAGGAGGAATTTATCTGTTTTAGGTCTTGTCAGCCCTCCCAATGTGGTTCTGTGGTTCAGCATCTAGTGGAAATTGACCCTCAACATGTTTGCCACCCACATGATCAATAAGGAAGAGGTGGGCTGCCAATAGGATACTTGTAGAGAGTTCCACGGCCAAAAGAGAGTGGCAGTGACAAAGTGAGGATGATCCATCCTTTTCCTCAGTACTGATCGGTGCAGAGAAAGGAAAGAGGGAGAATAAAGAAATCTTTCCCCATGATGAACATGTGGAATTCACACCCCATGAAGCTGAACACAAAGCATCACTTATGCATGGTACAGATTTCTTGTTTCTTTGCTGTTCTCTTTCTGAAATAGCAAAAAATCGGAAGGCTGTTGTTACGCCCCTGCCAGGCGGAATTCATGACTATAGCACATAACTGCTTGTACAACTCTTTCCAAAATGATATACAGCTCAAATATGTATCAAGAATCATATTGTTAAAATTGTTATATTTGGTAATCACTTATGTTAAAAAAATGAATGCAGCTCTTGGAATATGGCACTGATTTTACTTTACTCAGTACAACATTGGACAGCAGGAGGAATTGGAGAACATCATTTTCTTTTTAAATTACTTTCAGAAAACATTCCCTTAGCTGAGTCCAATCCACCATTATTCTTTTGAAACCATACTGTTTTACAATGCAAATTAAGTTACAGACAAAAACAGGGTTTTTTACTTATTCCATTCCCAGCCTACAGTCTTATGACCTTATCAAATTAAAATGAGAATTTGCCATGAATTGTGGCAAATCCATGGGTTTCCAGCAGGGGGCATGGAGAGCCCATTACTCCACACCGCATATCCCACTGGGAGGGGGGCATCACCACCCAGCTCCCCCTCCCCTATTGTTCAAAAGGCAACATGAGAAGCCTCCCATGCTGTCATAGGAGCAGCATGCATCTCTTCCTCTCCACTTTCACCATGGAGCCCAGCCAGAAGTTCTTGTGCATTGTGGAATGGGCTTCATGGTGAAGGGGGAGAAGAAGTAGTGTACAACAGGTAAATCAGTGGTGGATTTCATTCAAGCATGGACCCAATGATATTCACTGAATCTCCATTTGAGGAATACTTGTGTATATGATTACTGAGGACTCCCTGTAGATTAGTAGAATATCTATACAGCATATTCTAGTCCATATACATATGGCTTTGCACATTTATGTATAAAGCTGTGTTAATGCTAAACTGAAGTTAAAAGAGTAAAGGAATGAAAAAGTTGGGATTCTTGAAGAAATTTTAATTCGCCACATATTTTGAATCAGTCTTCAGAAGCAAGTATCTGAGAGATTTCTCAAGCATGGATGTGGTATGTCAAGCAACCTTCCGAGAAGTATTATACTTTTAAAAATTCTTCCCACAGCAGCCCAGTAATCTATAAGGAGCTTATATGTACTGGGCTTTGGCAGGTTCATCCTTGTGTAACCTAGCAAAGCCTGTGCATTCTGTTTCTCAGCATTTCCCAGCTCTTCCATCCGAAGAAAGGAGAATGATCCAAGTCAATGAAATTACACCACTCTTATCCTTGCAGTGCTCAAAATCCCTTTGCATACATACATCTGGTTAACAGTTAAATCATGAATGTACTTCAAAATTTATGAAGTCATTAGATGCACAAAAGAGTACATTTGATTTAAAACTGCAGTGATTACCAAATGAAAATAAAATGTGATTATAGTTTCAACATTTTTTCCACTGATTCAGAGAGCAGTCTGCATGTGGGCAAACCTACAGAAAACTGGTGCCCATCAGACAAAGAGGAATCCAAATCAGACTCACATACCTTCCATCATTTCACAGGTGAAAACTGGGACATATGGAAAACAATATCAGAGTGCAGTCAAGATGAGAAAAGTTGTTAATAAGGAGGAATATACAAGAGCTAAAGAAGCTGAAGTTCTTTGCTTTTGCCCAAGCCTACAGAAAAGGGTATATCTGCTTCCTCATCTCATCCTGTGCCTGTTGAATTAGCTGAGAGTAAACTTATGAAAACTGGTGTAATGTAGTGGTGTGAACATTGGACTAGAACTCTTGAGTCTAGATTTCAAATCCCCACTAAAACAAAGAAATTGATTGGAAAATCTTAGGCAAGTCACATCCTCCTATCCTCAGAGGAAATGAATGGCAAACAAATTTTGTCAAGACAACCTTATCCCAGGTCACTGAAATGCCTTGAAGGCATATAATGACAACCATTACCACTACCTAGCATTTCTCTTTCGAATCTTTCAATTCTATTCATATAACTGAATTAAGATAAGAACAAAGGGAGAAGTGAGAGAAGGAGCTAAAAAGTAGCTAAAACATTGGAACAGCAAAAATTATTTATTTATTTATTTATTTCAGACATTTCTATCCCGTCCTTCCCACCTCCAAAGAGGGAGTCAAGTCAGCTAAGATTAAATGGAACTGACCTGCCAAATTGGAGTATCTTAGTTCACATTGCCAAAGCACAAAGTAAAAAGCCCTGGATTCTTCTGCTATTTTCCATCCCTGATATTCATAAAGGCAAAAAATAGCATTGTGGTAAACAGAAGTGGGGAGTGGTGGTTCCTTTAGGTTCTCCTGTAATTGACAAAGCTATTGCCTTTTGCTACTCTACTTAGAGAAGAGAATGGTTCCTGTTTTGATAAAGATTTAAGGTACAGTGTTTAGACTGACCCATGGAGAAGTTAACCCGGGTTTTTAAAGTCCATTTTGTCTACAATTTATAGACTAATACATGAGTATACAGTGATCTAAGATCCCATTTACACAATTAATGGGATCAGATCCCACAATGCCTAACAGCTGGTAAGCTGACTGGGATTTCTGGGAGCTAAAATCCAAAATACCTGGAGGAGCACAGTTTGAGAAACATTGGTCTAGCATAAGGGAATCATACAATAAGAAAAATGTTCTCCACAAAATCTGGAATATCAGAAGTTTCCTCCCATATTTTACAGTTATAAAGAGAAGGTGTTTCACTGTGGCAAAATTAAATCATGCAATTTTAAAAAATGAAAATTATTCTGAAAAGAGTGTAGGCAGAGCTGTGGGCTCATATTTCCATGCTTGGTGGAAATAGCTGACATTTCTGGGAAATATGGCAAGCCATATCGGGTGCATTGTAGGAGTTAACATCCCTAAAGATCAAGTCTCTCTCTTTTTTTCAAAATCAGCAATGTTCTTTGCATAAATTAATTATTTTGATTGAATGATTTCTGCCACTATCAAAGAAGGCTGTGAAATAAAGCAATGTTTTCCACTAAATTAGAGATGGAGAAAGTGCAGCCCAACGGTATCTCACAAAGTTCCCATATTCACCACCTCACCAAAAATTAGATGGCTAAATCTCATCCCTCACAAGACTAGTGACACCCTTCAAGGCATCTAGAGTTACTATTGGCTTTTTCACTGCATTTGGAGCTTCATCTTTTAAAGACCTGGCTTTAGAATAATATAATCATAGAGTTAGAAGAGACCTCATGGACCATCCAGTCCAACCCCCTGCCAAGAAGCAGGAAAATCACAGGAAGCGGACCTTCTTCTTTGCCAGAAACAGGTGAAGGGATTAAAAAAGGCATAAGGCTATACTTCCTAGTCTTGGTTTGTGCAGCTGACACAATCAAAGGTTGAATGCAGTGATCTGCACAGAACTCTATAGTTAGACTGATCATGTAAGACAGGATTCTATGGAGGAACAAATCAAGTATACGTCTTTATCAGGTTGAGCTTTTTCACAGGGCCAGAGAACATTTAGTCATTGGATCCAAACTGGTCAGTCCTCCCAAATACATTTCAATTTGTGTTATAGATATTTTTATAAGACTTTAGATCCTATGTTTAATTGCCTTAGAGTGTTTGAAGTGGTTTGCTTAGTAACACAGTTTAAAATTTAGATCTGATTTTTTTTAAAAAATCTAGATTACAAAACATATGAATACATTACAAGAGATTAAGTCTACCTCTGAACCAAATGTTCAGATGTTTCTCCACCAGATAAAAGTAGATAGATTTTGATATTTCACACTTGCAGGCTCTAGACCTTTTGCAATTATAGAATCTCAGCTGAAATGCAAAAATGGGCAATACATGAATTCCAATTACAACAGCATTGAACTGACAGCTTGTTTATGCCTTTCATCTTCTCTCCTCATCATCTGTCATCTTTCTCTTTTTGACATATATTCACACATTTGTCTTATGCGGTACACTTGTATTTTTGTACAAAATATCACCATACTGTAACAAAAGAGGAGAGGGCTTGAAACATAAAAATAAATAGTCAAAATGATTTCACTTTATGATCTATTCTTGGATGTTGTAAGGAGTGTTAAAAACATGATTACTCAATATCTAGCAAGAGAAAATGAAAACTTCAATCTTATTAGGTAGTTTGAACAAAAGCAGATGCACTGAGTCAATGGGATTTACGTAACAATTGACTTAACAGTCAACTATTTATTCAGTGAGTCTACTCTAGTTGGAACTCACCAATAGGATT